CGGCCTCTTTCCAAACATGTTTGACTGCCCATGTGCAGTGCATTAAACGCAGTAATAAAGCTAATCAAAGGGGCCTCCCACAAATATTTTTGCTCCATAGATCAGACCACAACATTTTTCCTACACCTACTAATGTCAGCAATGATGTGTCAATGGCAGGAAGCCATAATGACATTAAAAAAAAAAAGTCTGCTACCACAGCAGGGATTGTATCATATTAAAATTTGTAATAACCAGAGGCCATAGGAACAGAAAAGAAACTGCTTTCCTCCGAGAGCTGAGACTGTAACTGCCCCCAGATGTGTTAAGTGAGTCGCCTAATAAAACTGTTACCATGCGCTGGGTGCTTTGCACGCGCCAGGAGCTGTTTATGGCTTTGTGTACATGAAGCCCTTCCATCCTCATGGCGACCAGGTGAAGTGGGTACAATTTCTCCCCTCATGTTACAGACGTGAAGACTGAGGCACAGAAAGGTAAGAGGGTTAGATAACCACCTGGTAAGCGATGGATGCAAAGTGGAAGAAAACTAACCCTGCCCGCCCCTATGGCAAGCCCGCCCTGCCCCGACCGTGCAGAGATGGGGCGCGCTGTTGCCCCCTCTCCCTGTAACAGCAGACCCCCTGTATGAAGCCCATAAACAAGAGCCAGATCCTTAACCCTATTTATTGAGCCCTTAACACATGCAAGGGCTCTGCTAAACGTTTCACAAGCATATCCCCTCAGTCTTCTAGCAATGCAAAGAGGGAGGTCTCATCACGGCCACGTCCAGATGGAGAAAGTAGCTTCCCATCGGAAACCCCTCTGTGTCTATGCGGTTATCACGGAGCAGAGCCAGGACGCAGACCTAAGCGATCTCATCCCAAAGCCCTCTGTCTGTTACAAACAGAAACGATGGATTAAAAAAAAAAATGACGGTTCAAAGTTGAGAATCCAACAGGCAAGAGTCCAGAAGTCCTGCTTTGAGGATAAGCATTGCACTACCTCCAATCCTTACAACAGTCGGCAAGTATTTTATTTAGTCTTTTGATGTTGCCATTGAAACCGCTGTTATTGTTAAGAAATGATATTTTGCTTAACGTTAATTTAAATGATTGAATATCACTAAAAATGTAATTGTTTAAGACTCACAGATGTAGAAACCAAATTTGTGGTGACTAAAGGGGAGAGGGGAGGGGAGAGGGACACATTAGGAGTATGGGATTAACAGACACAAACCACTATATATAAAACAGATAAACCAAAAGGATATTCTCTATAGCACAGGGAATTATACTCAGCATCTTGTAGTATCCCATGATGAAATATAACCTGCAAAAATGCTGACTTGCTATGCTGTACACCCACAATTAACACAATATTGTAAATCAACTATAAATTAAAAAAAAACAGTGAAGTCAGAAAAAAAATTTGTTTAAATGTTGATGATTTAATTTGCTTAAAATTAAACTGCCAGGAAGTGGTGGAGACGGGAATGGACGGCTGTAGTCTTTATGCTGTGCCCTTATGACTCCCCGCCCCCAGAGTGACTCCTACACCTGAGAGCATCCATTTCCACGTGCAATTTCAGACCCTCTCGGTAGACGTCCCCATTTCCTCCAATGAACAAAAAAACTTGTGTTTCTGCTATCTCCCCCCCCATCTCCATCCCCCCAGAGTGTTGTGGGACCCGACGTGGAAGTGCCTGCCAGCACTCTGAGCTGTGGGAGGAACCACGCCCTTGGACACTGGCACCTAACCCGGAATCGGCAGGGCACTGCGTGAAGAGAAACAGTTGTACTCATGTCTGGCTCCAAAAAGGAACTGGGTTGCTTTTTCCCACCCCTCCCCGGGTTTTAAGCAGGATAGAACTAATGGAGCATCAGCCAACCAATGAAAAAAACGTTCAGAAACACAGACCTGGGACCTTAGCTGAACGCCCCTGGCAGAATACGCTTGTAGAGGCTGGGATTTGCTGCATTCACAACCTCCACGCAGCCTCGAGCAAGTTCTAGCTGTGGTTCAGCCCGTGAAAGGACACCAACGATCTCTCAATAATCCCTCTTGCTGTAAGATTTTAGAGTGTTTGGTGTTTTTCCACATCAACTCACCCCCAAGTAATTCACTATTACATTAGGAATTGAAGGGGGATTGTCTTCTTGCTCTTTATTTTCCACCAGCCTTCCCCTCCAGACCAACCATCCCTACCAAAAAAAACAAGCCAACAGGTTGTACACCGTGGGAGCTGTGACAACAAAATGCCAGGCGTGGTCCATGGAGAGCCATTTCCAAAGCCTGTTGCCTCAGATCCCAGAAACCAAGCACTCACAGGCTCAGCAGCGAGCCTGAGTGTTTTGCGCCCCCTCAACAGCATGCGCTCACCTGGGACCTGTTTACTGAAATCCTGATGCCTCGACTCCAGGCCCCCAAGCTGCCGGGCGTCACTGTGAGAGGACATACAATGTGGCCCATGTACTCTTCAAAAAATGAAGACTTCAACCTGGGATGCATGTTTGAATTTGGACTCTGGTGAGAGGCTGCTAGCAAACTCACAAAAGGTTCCCTTCCGCTGGTTAAAGTCGAAGTCCCCTGCCTGATAGGACAGATGAGCGTATCCTGTGCTGATTTCATGGTTTACCATCAAGCATCAGATGAACAAGGATGGAGAGGAGATGCGGACAGGTCACACTTCCCTCAGAGCCTGTCAGGCCAACCGGCTGATTCTCTGGGTCGAGCCTCCAGCATATCCCATGGGAATATGCCTCAAGGGGGACCAATTTCATCCACCAAGTGAGATTCCATATGGGCTTCCCGCCACCACGTCCCCTCCCTGCCCCTCCTTGGGCAGCCTGTAGTGGGCAAGGAGTTGGGGCGAATTTTCTATTAGGTCAGTACCTGGTTTCTCTGAGACTGGAATTACGATACTCATCTTAATACACAGTCTGGAGGGTCACCTATTAACATCCAGAAACAGTCCCAAAAGAAAAAGATGTTACCTGTTCATTTTTATATTTTTTATTAGATTTTCTTTGCAAAGAGATTTGGGGGTAAAAAACCAATAAAGATGACAGCGAATCCTAAGCTCCAAAGTGAAATTCATCCATCGCGGATGAAAGCCAAGTGAGTTGGCGAGAAGGTAAAAGCATGACCCGCAAAGGGTGACCTTTGCCACCGTGGGAAGCGCCATTAACCCAACAATTGCATCAGGAGTGCCTGCTAAGTTCAAGCCATTGATGAACCAAGCAGACACAATTCCAGGACAGGAGACACAATGTATTAAATTAATGACTAGAACGCAACAGAGAACATTGTAAGTGCCACACAAGAGACACAGGTAAAAAGAATTAGGTATTCGGATGAAGAAGAGAGACTGTGTCACCTGGTAAACACATCTACGAGCTTCAAGGTGTTTTTAAAGCTTATTTACAAGTTTGATTTGCAACCAGCTCAGTCTTTCTAGATGGATGCAGACTCCAGTGAAACGGGAAGCTTCTGGCGAAACATAGCCTTGCCTTTGGGTGCACTTCTCAGCCCCCACCCACACCCAGTTGAAAAGATGGTAACATCCAATTATCCCAAAATTGTATTGGAACTATATTCCCCTTACCAAGACCCCTACTCTGTAAGACAATAAATAAAATGTAAGTGTGATAAATCAAACACACTTCCTGAGTCTCAGAAATGTTGACACAGGACGATGTCAAAGAAAATGATGCGCTCTGCTTCCCCGGAGGTCTTCGGAAGGACACCTGTATCGCTCTTTCTGTGACGGCTTCTGAAAGACTTTGTTCCCAGACCGCGAGCAAAACCCAATCTCAGCTTCCCCATCAGTTAAGAGTGACCTCGGAGGGCCCTTGCAGCTCCAGCCTTTTAGAGCAGAGGAACATTTATGCTTCCTTTACCCTAAGTTACCATCTGAAGGGCCCTGCAGGTCTGCGATTCCACAAAGCTTGGAGATCATTGCTGGTAAATCCCAAACTACTACTGGAAACCAAATGGAAAGAGGTGCGTGGGGGGAAATAATTCTCACCCATAAAAAATAATAATAACCAAAAAAATATTTTTTGAGCATCCCTTAGCTCCAGTGTGAAACAAGAGAAAGTTAAGCAGAGTCGGGGTGGGGGCGGGGGGCATTTTCTCGGAGCTTGTCCGCCCATCCCTTCTTGCGACACCCATTTGCTTCTCCCTAAAAGCATTGCAACACTCCATCCCTGAAACTGACCTAGTTTGTGTCTGTTCCTTTAAGAAAGTGCCACTTGTGCCAAAGATGGCCCTCGCTTCGTCCAAGGAAAAGGAGAAGGGATCTGGGTCTGGAGACTTGGATGGATGCCCTCCATCCTTTGGTAACAGGGTCTGGGTTAGATGAAGCCAAGGCTGGTCCTGCTTACGAAGACCCAAGAAGGAACCCCAAGCAGAGGCTGGGCTCCTCCCCAGCCAGCCGGCTCGTGAGTCCGGAAGCGACTTGCCTTCCTTTCAGGGCTTCTGCTAGTCCCTCCTCGCTGGGCGCGTGGAAGCCACCGTCAGCCCAGCCCAAGCCCTGCTGCTGTGAGGTTGAATCACAGGGAGCCTCCCCCTGCTCGGCCCTGCGCCCCACGGACCACAGACCCCACCGGGGCTAGAAATACAGCTTGGTTTTAAGCCTCCAGAAGCAGCAGTGAGCTCAAGCGTCTGCCATCCCGGCCTCCCCTCTCCCGGGCCTCCCAGCGCCCAACAGGCCACCCGTGGCTCCCGCCCACCTCGCCCTCGCCTGGACCCTCCCTCTTCTCCGGCAGCTTTCCTCCACCACCAAGTGGCCTCGCCCCTCTGCAGACGTGCTCCCCCAGCACCCCATCCTCCGGGACACACCCAGGCCTCCCACACCTCCTCGCCTGCAGTGGCCTGCTTTCCCACCCAGCCCTGGCTTCCAAGTGGGAACCCGGCCTTGGTCACCCTCCAGCAGCTTCCCCCGCTCACCAGTACCCCCTTCCCCCCCCAGCCCCCCTCTCCTGCCCCAGGCCAGCCCAGCGCTCCCGTCCGTCACTCACCTGGCTTCGCTCTCGACCCAGGACCTCGGTGTCCACGCGGGCACAGCACCCGGCAAGACCCCAGGCCCTCGGCTCCCCCAGGGGGCGGGCTTTGCCTCCGCTGACTTGCCGTGCCAGAGCCAGGGAGGCCGGGTCCCACTCAGCCCGTGCTTCCTCATGGCGTCCTGCGGCAAGACAGCTGCTCAGAAAAGCCCCTTTCTTACTAAGGAGTCAGTGGTGTTTTCACTCGAGGCCATGATAAGGCTCTCCAGATAGCTAGTGAGTCACCCAAGAATTATTTTATTATTCATCATATAAACAGTATCAAGCAAGTCAGAGCTCAGTCAGCACCGAGCTTCAGATCTCCACAGGTTGGATCAATGGAGCATCCTCGCTGCCTCCCCTCCTCAGCTTGAAAGCCTTAACCCACTCCTGTCACCTTCCGCCTGCCTGCGGGGGCTGCCCAGACCCCTGGAAGGAGCCAGCTCCCGGAGGACCGAGAGTAGCCTTCGTATTTCTTGGTCTCCTCTCGCCGAGACCGAACACAGCGTGTAGCACACGGCTGGGGCGCGTTGTCTGGTGCATTTGCTGATTCTCTAAGGGACGCGTTAGGGAGATGTGGGCTCTGAGAGTTACTCCTCTTTCCAGTGTTTCTCAGAAAGAGGTCTTGCCTCAGAACCTCCCACAGTCCTTGCTGAAAATGCACACTGTTGAGCCCCATCCAAGACGTGCTGACTCAGAACGTCGGAAGTGGACCGCGGCCCTTTACATCGTTTAACAAGCATCCCAGGTGAGTCTTGTGCACGTTGGTTGGGTTACTGAGCCAGTAACTTGATGCCTTTTTAACTTCTCAAAGACCTTTCTAGGTGGGAGGGAACTTCGACTTTTGATTGAAGGGGGAAAATGAGCAGAAGTGATTGTAAGTCCCTTCACAGCTAGGACACTGTGTGCATTAATGGCCACCGCTAGCTACTGACATGAGAGCATCTTGCCTGACCCAACCTGGACCATGAAGCCTCTTTGATCATCAGCCCATCCTGTAGAATTTGGCCACGTACGGGAGGATGTGCGTGGGTTATACACAAATACTACACCATTGTACATGGGGATTTGAGCATCCAAGGATTTTGGAACCCTGGGGGGGTCCTGGAACCAATCTCCCTGGGGATACCATGGGACAACTGCACTCTATTACTTCTTAAATCCTTTAAAAGGCTTAACTGTGAGAAGACTAGGAGAAGCAGAGAAGGAGCCCGATGAAAGATGGGCGGGTGTGTGTGTGTGTGTTTTGAAAGATACGTTCTATTTCAGAGTCTCTCACACAGAAATACAACAAAGGAGTGCGGAGCTCAGAGCCACAGCCCATCTGTCGACAGGCTATTCAATTAACTTATTGTTACCAGTGAAACACCAGCTCAGTGTGTCTGGAGAAAGAGGAAGTCCCAGGTGCTGGAGTGACAGCCATCAAGCTGCCAGCAAAGCGGAGAAAGCCAGTCGCCCCTGGAGGCAGGCTGCCCCCTCCTCCTCTGGCGCTTTTCCTTCCATCCTTTTCTCACTTCCTTGTTGTTTTTTTTCTCCTCCTGGCTCACACCTCTTCCCCTTTCTTCTCTTTCCTCATCTGGGGAAGAGAAAAGGCCGGCTTCTCCATTTCAACAGAGCACATATCCTTGAGCAAGAAGCAACGATGGAAGAGAAACGGGCTGGAGTCTGAGAATTCGCTGAAGTTGCTATTTCTTTCAACAGAGCAAAGGAAGGGGAGATGGGGGAGACCGTTTCTGCCACCTCAAATGAGCCTCAGACCATCCGCCACCCTTCCCTTACCTGCCTGAGGCCTTATTTTCCACCCGCCACCCCTTCGCTGACTACCCTCCCACTCTCTAAGTCATTTCTTGGTTTCGCTCTCAAGGGGCAGAGAAGCCAACAAGGTGAGGCCAGTGAGCCCTCGCTCAAACCACAAGGCGCACGTACCCCAGGGGCCCTCTCACCGGTCTTGGGGGTACATGAGTTTTCTGCAGGGACACAGCTGGGGCTCTCCTGACTCATGGCCAAGGCCACCACAAATTTGGAGTTGCCATTCTCATCATGTTTTCGTGATCTGAGTCCACTGGCAGCTGCTCAGAGGGAGAAATAATAGCCCTCAAAGGAGGAACATTAATGTGCTCTACCTGGATCTATTCTAAGCATCGCATCTAATTACAGAGAATGAATCAGATTTAAGCATCTTAAACATAGACATAAAAAAGTAATTAACCCTCAAACAGGAAGCTGCTGAGCGGTCAGATCGCATCGTTTGAGAACCAAGAAAAGCAAGTCAGCACACTGCAAGCATGAGAAAAGCAGGGGTTAATCCTCTGCCGGGGTTTCAGGGTTCTGTTCACTTCTGCAGCTGTGCTACGGGCGGTCCTCACAGGAGCAGAGGAGTCTCTTCACGAGACTGTGAAACTGTTGCAGTGAAGACACCCTCTCTTCTTTACAAAGTGACACTCCTCAAAAGATGCATCCAGCCCGAAGCTCCCACTGGCACAGGCTCAGTGCCCATCACTGTAAGGAAGTTTCACCCTAAAAGTAGACAAACTCCACAGGTTCATCAGGCAGTTTCATTCGAGTTTTAGTTGCTCTCCACTCAGTTTGAAAAGCTTGAAAAGCTATCTAAGAATTCCTCACTGGTCATTCTCAACACAATCGCAACATCTCTTAGTTTAGGACCAGAGGCAGCAAGAGATGAGAGGCTGTGGTCTGATCCAGCTCTGCCCCATCGCTCCCTGCTTGGGGCCAAACCGAATCAACCAGACCCACGTGACAGTCACAGGGGAGGGGGAAGTGGGTCTGATGGAGCCAGAGGAAGGACACGACTCCGGAGCCAGAAGCCGTGGAGTCCAGGCGCAGCTACTGTGGCCGCATCTCTGTTGTCCAGCAAGCGGCACCTGTCGCCTGCCATCAGTAGTAGAAGTCGGAGCACTTGACCCACTGCATCTTGGTATCCGAGTCACGGAGGAAAACCCAGCAGCAGCCAAGCACTGGATGGAAGCGCACTCCCCTCACGTGGAGAAGAGACGGAGTCAAGGTCAGCCTCAGGGGTGGGGTCAGTTCCCCGTGGCCAGGGACCCCTCCCTTCCTGAGCTGCTGCAGAAGGACTCCGTTCCCTCCTCGTGGGGGAAGGATGTAGCAGTGGCCTGGACGATGGATGCTAGAGGATGCACCCGTGTACGCAGAACAAAGGAGAGCCAGGAAAGCTGTTCCCACACAAGGAGCGAGTCCAGCACCGGCCGCGAGGACCCCTTACCTCTCGTAAGGATGTGTCCAGGTCCAAAGCCTGATCTCCTGTAACCTCCTGGGGGTGGAACAACTCCATGTTGGAGACTGCCTTCCCAAAAACAAGGACCTTGGGAGAACCGCTCAATCTCACCAAGTCTCAGTCCATGAAGTACAGATCACAATGAGGATGCTACGCCTCCGTACGGGGCTCTCACGAGGTCCAAAGAAGACTTTTTTTTTCCCTAAATTTTTGAGAATTTATTTGAGCAAAGATCAACTTGGATCCAGCAGCGTAAACCAGAAGTGGTTGGAACTATGCCGACAAGAGCGAGGGAAAGGCTTTTATAGAGAAGGGGAGGAGGAACAGCAAGGAAATTGTTTGACTGGCGAAGGCCTGAGTGGTTGTGTTATTTCAGAAAGCCTGGTTGGCTGTTTATGATTGGTTGTCAGGAGACCATTTATTGAAAAGAGCTTTGAAAAATTATAAACCCCTGTGGGACGTGTACTTGTGGTGAATAACCTAATAGAGTTCTCAAAAAACAGTACAACTTTTTACTCCGTCTGAAGGACATTGTTAGCATCCTAGGGTCCACCTTGTATACAGCCTGAATGAAGATAAATTTCCTGGCACTTCTTGACATGTAAGGTTCTTCTATGTCAAAGTTTGACAACAAGACTACCTTGAATTTTCATGTTCCCAATGCATCTCCCTTCGCTAAGAGCACCTGTGTCCCTGCTTTTCTTCCTCTTTAGACTTATCTTGACATTTTTATTCCCAAATCCCAGGTTCCGTGATGGTCGACGTGATCTCTCACAGTCCAAGATTCATTTATCTACTCGACAACTTGCTTTTTTTAAAAAATGCCGAAGTTGAAGGTAATTCTGCCACTTTAAATGGTATTTTACAAAAATATATTTATAATGAGTTAGTGTACTCATAATATCTGGCTGAGGTTATTTGAAAAGACCAGGGTACAAAATTATATGTAGTAACAATCTCATTGAACACACACACACACACACATCCTACCCACATACACACATGTATCCAAAAACTGGAAAATATGCATACACCAACTAATTATCTCTAGGTAGTGAGAACAAATTTTAATTTATTTCCCTCTGTGCTTACCTACATGTACTATAGTTTCTAAAATAAGCATGCTTTTTTTTTTGGAAAAAGGAAAAATTTACTTTAAAATGCTGTTTCTTTCCTTCTTATGTAGGAGAGAGCATATCATACTAAGTCAAGGACAGAGGATCCTCCTCTCACTGAAATTATCTTAATGTGACCCTGATTATCTGAGTAAGAATGAATCCATCGTCTACTGCATAGAAAGAAAGTTTGCATCAGCCTAACACACATATATGTGTGACTGAGAAAAAATGTCAAGAAGGAGTGCACACACGGGATGCTTTCGATATTTTAGCTTCCATGCCATTCCAGTACTTGAACGCAGGCTGCCCATTCTGAGTTCACCAACCATGGCTGGAAACTGTTGTGAGTTCCTGGTTTCACCATCAAGCTCAAGATTACCTTCTGGGATGAAAAGCGAATCATTCTGAAAAAACTGTCCCTCCATCTGTCACCTGAGGCCCCTCCAGGAATGAATTACACTCTCATTCTCTGATCCAGATCTACACTTTTTTGATGCCCAAATCAGCCAATACCATAATAAACGTTCCAACAATTGAGCTTCTGTGGGACAGTATATGACACCAATGTCTTGGTTTTAGAAATGATAACACTGGGAGCAATGGTTCTTCTTGGAAATCAGTGAAAACTCCTGAGCAGGGAAACCAGTATAAATATCCATGGAGCAAAAGCGATGAAAATGGACCCAAACTCAATCACGATCTAGAGCATTACACAGGCGCAGCTCATGCCCTCCTGTCCTCGTCAGCTTCTTGTCTTTTAATTCATGCTAGAACTGGATGTAATAATATTAATAAATCATCTTCTTCAAGCTTATAGGATCTGAGACACCAGGCAAATTATGATAAGCA